TACTACAGTTTGCTTGCAAGTTTCGATTTGCAGTCTATCGTAACTCATCATGACAGGAAAAGTGGCATAGGCAGCCCCAAGCTCATTAGAAGTACGGGCGTGGACTGTATTTTGAGGCTCACATGCAAAAAATGAAACCGGTATCTCTAACCGTTTGGAAATAAAACAGTGTTTTTCGTCTCCTGAAAAGTAGCAAATTTTAGATACGACTTTTTGGAATCGTACCCTCGATTTGATCCTTTGAACTCTCGCTGTCACGGAAGTCCTCCGTCTTTGGCTCGTATTCGGTTATTCAAATAATTTATTCGGTTTCTGCCCAGGCCTGCTACTTACTATTTAATTAGTCGTGTTGTAGACCTCTCATTTTGATAATGAAAATTTATTTAGATCTAGATCTAGATCTAGTGTCCATTGTCCACCCATTGTGTTTATCTGGTGTGCTGCTACAATGTCTGGGCAGGAAAAAAATTCCTAAACGTTAGTTGTACTAATTAATTTGAAAGAGGGCAGCTTAGCTGCACCTGACAAGTGGCATTATTATGATGACCCGTTAGAACAAATGATTATTTAATTCGAGAAATGAACTGAACGTAACAGCACCATACTCTGGCGTAGATCTAATCCCGGTTCATTACAGTGCCCATCATTTGACTCTATTTGAAACAAAATTAAGGGCACCGTAGATCTAGAAAGATTTGCACCTATACTCTACTATAGGAGACTGGGAGACTAGCGTTTGGTTGACCATGGTGAGCGCACTCTGTAGCGAAGTTTTTAAGTTTTTACTAGATTTAGATCTAGATCTAGATCTAGGCTACTTTGCTTAGCCTACACACCACACAGAGGGATAGAAGTAGAAGGCGAATACGGATCTAGTGCGCGGAGTAATTTATGCAATTTTTTTATATTTCACGTGTGAGATTTCAGCATAGCCAACCTATATATCACGTGTAAAATATAAGGATATATTTTACCGGAAGTGCAATGCTAAAACAGCTCCAAGTATGGTATAAAATATTATATTATATAATTGCATTCAACGTTTTGTCGTATGGAGTCATTATCATCATAATCATCATCATTGTCATCATCCTCTCCATCATCATCATAATAATTATTTGCAAATCGAATGGAGTTATTTGGACGAGTGGAGATGCCTTCAAGTATAATGACAATGGAGCCGAAAAAGAGCCTCGCTCTCGTTCGAAGACGTCTTCTTCGTGGAGCCCACCAGGCCCATTAAAGAAACAAACAAAAAATCATTATCATCATCACCATCATCATCATCATCATCATCAACAGCTTCACTATAAACACTATCACTACGAACATAGTATTTACTTTGAGAAAACGGATAGAGGATCATTAACTAAACTACGTCTCAGGAGGAGCATAAAGCGTTGCGTCGTGATAAAATCAGGCGCTCATAAAAATAATGATATCGAAGACGACGGCATTTTCTTCCGCCCGCTGGGAAAATTTTTATCCAATTTCTTTTTTTTTCTTCTTTTTTTTTTTGCTGTTTTTATTTTGTCAACTCCTTTTATGTCCACTTAAAACACATGTGTGTGAGAATTTAGCTGAAATACGTCAATCAAAGGCAGAGCAATGTACAAATTCAATTTGCAAGGACTTTCAAGCTCCTACCTCCTTCAATTGCAAATATCTTGACTTCTCTTCAAGGTAGATGGGTATTCTTTTTCCATCAAAAACAAAACATATAACCTAGGTATAAGATGGTGCAAATAACTTCTTGTGCCTTAAAAATGACGACCGCCTGATTCCAAGGAGTCATGACATAGATCTATATATTTTTTGTAAACAGACTAAATGATATTTTGGAAAGCTTCATGACGTGTCTCTGTATTGCTTGTAACAATTCAATGTTTCATTTTTTAAGGCATACAAAAGTCTTGATAAAAGTAATTATACGTAAACATAAACGGCAAAAACTATTTCTGTTGTAAAAATTGACACTATCCACAATAAACACATCAACAGACGTGTAGGTTTCGAAACTTTAAAAGTGGATAGAATGTAAAGCAGAATTTCAAGAACACGGATGTGTAAATCAAACAAAACTTCCTGTAATTACAAATCTTTAATTTGATTTTTTTAAATTCTAACAAAATCTGCAGCTCTCCTCTTTAAATGGAAATCTACTGCAAAATGTATCAATTTCCAACAATGTATGTGTGTTTCTAATAGATGAAGAACCACATTTTGCCATTCCACGAAGCAACGGTGAAGGTTTGGTGATCACACAAGGTAGAAGCCTGAACTTTTTGAATGAAGCCACTGGGAAAGTTTCTCCATTTGTCTCAGAAGAGAAGTTTGAGCTGTCAGCTGATGGACTAATTAATGATGGAAAGTGTGATGCTAAGGGCCGACTCTGGTTAGGTGAGTACAAATCCTGTAAAAGGGAGTACAATTAATCTGGTATAATTGACATAACCTCACCAGTATAATTTCAGTGAGGAGAGTTCATTTCTTATCCCAATTACAATTAAGTGATTGTGAATCTTTTTTCGAATGAGTACGACTCAAGCCAAGTAAGTAAACTTGATTTCTGGATAAACAGGTGCAGCTTTAAATCATATTGACGCAATTTTGGTTGGGTAAATACGGTTCATTACACCATGCTTTTGTCAAACCGATTTCCGAAAATAATCGACTGCAATCTTTATTCCAATATTAATGATATAATATTATTGGCATGATTTTAAATAATTTAATAAATACGATTTGGTTTGAATAGTAGTTAGACAAAAGCGATACTGGATATATGACTGGAGCTTCCATCTGGCTTATACATATATAGCACCATGGGTCTCATTAAATGTGCCCTGGTAAAGTTCCATAAACCGGAGACAGGTAATAGCCTATTAATCAGTTTCCTGTTGGACATGACCTAATTTCCAAACCAAACTGTCATGAATACACATAACAGGTTTCGGTTGAAAAATATGTGCATGACTCACCACCACCTTGGCGTTATTCTATCGGAAATGAACATTTAATTCGGAGATCTCATGTCTTGAAATCTATAGCAAAGATCGTCAGAGAGATCAGTAGAAAAGAAATATAGCACCATGGCTACAACGTAAGAAGACAAAAAAAGTTCAATGGGCTGAAAATTTTCAAGAGATTTTAAATAGACCACCCACACCACGCCCACCAAATGAATTCAACTTAGATGAAGTATAGCCAATAGAAGAACTGAACATAATAATACATGTACACAGACGAAATAACAATGCCGGAAATAAGTTAAAGTATCTAATTTTCTTGAAGATTGAAGGATTATTTGGTCCTCTCTGACTTATGTAAAAAATTTGTGATCACAGGTACGTACGTTGCAGGTGGTAGTTTCGACGAGGTGGAGAAATGGAAGCCAAATGGGGCCCTCTTTAGGTTTGTATAGTCTTCTGCTTCATATTATCCCCCTTTAAAGTTTGCCTTTCGTGATTTTGTAAAGATCATTATGAATTTACTCCCACCTTTCACAAACCTTAACGTATGTACTCGTATATTTTCAATGTGCCTGGCGTGAGTGGGTATTTTTTATTGGACTTTACGAAAAATCGAACTCGTGTGTTACACCTCAATCATATACCCCATCTCCCCTACCAACAACCTGTCCTCCCTTTCCCCACTCCTCCTGTTACCCTCCCAAACGAAATAAAATACTAATACATAAACAATCAAAAAGAGAAGCAAAACGAGTGTTTTAAAAAAGTAAAATAAATTTCAAAAATTAAAAAAGCATTTTTTCATGTGTTCTGACCTCAGAATCTCACCCGACGGAGCGGTCAGCAAACAGGCAGACCAGATTGTTTTATCAAACGGCCTGGACTGGACAACAGACAGCCGGACCATGCTGTTCGCGGACAGCTTTGGCCTAAGGATGTACGCCTTTGATTTCGACCTGGAAAGTGGGGAGCTCAGTCAGTATTTTGTTGTTTTTGTTGTTTCGGTTAGTGTTTAATGCCGTTTGCAATTGCATATGGACATATTGTGAGCGCGCAGGATAAACATTTTTAGTTTGGTAGGAATCCATTTTGAATTTAGCCCTGGTGGCGGCCAAAGCCAACACTTATCGATTTTGAACCACCAAGGGATCTTTAACGTGCGCAATTTGCACACAAAGCCTACGAGATTTCCCCCTCATCCAAGAAGGCTAAGTGTTAGATCATCCTTACCGTAAGACCAGGGGTGAGGCTGATAGACATTAGAAAGAGGAAGCCAAGGTGTAGCAATAGAAAGGCTCTAGAAAGAGTCAGGAGCCCGGACTAGGGGGCAAAAGGATGGTGGGTGAGGGTGCAGGGGTACAAAGTGGAGACCATAGCAGACTACAGAACATGGTTAGAGGGGAAGAAAATATGAAAAGAGAACATTTCAGAGACAAAAATTGTCCGTCGCTGTCAAGTTTCGAACAAGGGACCTATTGAATCAGAGGTGAACATCGCAACCTCTTGACCAGGACAGCTTCCTTTCAGTAAATATAACAGTATAAATATTATTAAAAGTTTTTGGTCATTTATTTGCAGTGTGTCGTGTTTGAATTCATGTCAATATGTGAGGCATCGTGCGGTATGAAATCAAGCGCTCGTCGAAATAAAGAAATGGAAGAAAATGGCTTTTTTTTTCTCTCCGGTTTGGCATTTTTAATCGATTTTTTTACTCAACGCCTTCTATGTTCATTTAAAAACACAAGGCTGTGTGAATTTGACTAAAAATGCCCATTAAGGGCACAAACATATTCATTTTCAGTTTCCAAGGACTCTCAGACTACAGAGTCACCAAACTTTGGCGGCCATTTTCTCGGTAATTTTGCTGTTGAAACCAGGCGACTCCCACCTACCTCTTTAAATTGCAAATATCTCTATTTCTTTTCAAGACAGACTGGTAATTTGTTGTCGTCGAAAGCAAGATAAATGAACAAGTTTGAAGATGGTACCAATAAATCCATTGATATGTTCAAAATGTGGCGAGCGCCTGATTCCCCTGCGTCATGGCACGTTATAATAATGTGTCACCAGACGGTGGAATCAGGTGGTCGTCAGTTGGTGTGCGAATTGTAGAGTTATTGGTATAATCTTAAAAAGTCACTTTTCGTGAAAACTATATCGAGGGGAAGTTGGTTGTCCTAGACAGGTGGACATGTTGAACATTGCCATTACAATGCTTTGAACAACGAATGGGTTGAAGTGGGAATTTGTCGTTTGTGTGTGTCACTGACTGATAAGATAAGATAAGATAAGATAAGATAAGATAAGATAAGATAAGATAAGATAAGATAAGATAAGATAAGATAAGATAAGATATGATAAGATAAGATAAGACATATACTCACTCATAAACACGCATACACACGAACACCCCCCCCCCCCCAGGCACACACACACACGCACACAAACATGAACACAGTTGCACGCATGCACATGTGCACACCGAGGTTAAAAGGCATGTATATAATATATATATATATATATATATATATATATATATATATATATATATATATATATATTGTGTGTGTGCGTGTGCGTGTGTGTGTGTGTGTTTGTGTGTGTGTGGGGGTGTATGTGTGTGTGTGAATGTTTGTGTGTGTGTGGAATCGGGCGCGCGTCAATTTTTGGGCACATGGGGTCATTTATGAAATCTTAATTCTTGTCCATTTGCCTTGCTTTTGATTTTAAACATACATCTTGAATCGAAGTCTATATGAGGTGGGGGTTGCCTCGTGTCAGAGGTAAAATTAGTGAGAAATAGCCGCCAAAGTTAGGTGACTCCCAAAGCTGTAATGCCCCTTGAAACTGCGTATTAGCATTGTGTGCGCCTTGCATTAACATGTTTCAGTCAAATCCACGCAGGAATATAAAGAGGTTGAGTCCAAAACAAATAAAAACAAAATCGATCAAAAGTGCTGAACGGGCGAAAAGAAACGGACGGTGTCTTCGGTTTCATCTTCTTCTTCTCGATCGCATCACACTTTAAATTCGTTATCTATCATGGGCCGTCCTGCTCAGTTCATCTATTGGCCACGTACAGCTTTTCTTGTAAGTCAATGGGGTTGACCGCGATTCCTGTTTCAGGACGCCTGGTGTCTTGTAGTGGTGAAGGATGTGTTCCACAGTTTGGTCGACCTCTCCACACTTCGATTTCATTATTTTGACGAACTTCTAATTTCCCCCAGGATACACTACAGACACATAATATCTGTCTTTCTTCCGTATTATGCCCCAGGTAACCGACGTGTGTTCAAACAGTGGGAGGCGGGCTCGGAGGAGTTTCCGGACGGACTTTGCATAGACGCCGACAATAAGGCTTGGGTGGCGATGGTCAGCTCTGGACGGGTAATTCAACTCGACTTAGAGACCGGTGAGTTTGGTTTCGTTTTTTATTTGGAATGAACATTCATTGATAGTTGAAACACTTGTTTTGGGTCGAGCCTTGAAAGCTGACACGGTTCATAATAATTGGATTCGGCTTCTCGTTTGGTTTGATTTTGGTTTGGTTTGAGAAACTGTAGAAAGTTTAAGTCTTTAGAATTGAGTTTAGCCTTTGAAGGTGGACTTTTTTGGAGGGGGGGGGGGATATATGTATTTATGTATGTTAAAAACAATCAGGAAACGACAAATGCAGTTTTTGGGACACCGGAATAGACATAAGGGTCTTGAACATCTAGCTCTCACTTGCAACATTGAGGGCAAGCGAGGCAGGGGTAGGCCCAGAACAACATACTTAGGGAACCTAAACAAATGGGTAACAAGGAAAGATCAGGGAAACGTAGCTTTTCTGAGAGCATCCGAGCAAAGGAATGAATGGAAAATCATGATCTCCGATGTCTGTCGCAGATCTGGCACTGTACGATGATGATGATGTATGTGATTCTAAAGCCCCATCAGCACAATTTAGAAATTTTAGAAGGCGGGCTGTGACATTGCCTATCAGGGCCAACCCAGTATGAGAGGGGATTCTCGTCCAAGTGAAAAGACTGCGACATTCATTTAAAATCATCCTCGTATAGGATTCGACTCAGGACGGGTCATTCGATGCGACATTGAAAACGGTAAATCTGCTTCATCCTGGTTGAAGTTGGTTAAAAGTTGTCCACGACTTTTCTACATTCGTAGTGGTTCGTGATATCCCTTAGTCTTAGACGACGGTTGGGGCACTAAGAATGATCGGGCAGCCCCTTTTCTCCATCCTTCTCAATTTTTAACCTTTCGAAGGGCTTCACCCAACTCTAAAACTGTCCCTTCCTTTATGTTGTCTTCTCATTTCTTTTCTGTCTGCCTTCTCCCTTCTCCTTCTCCCTCCCTGTACGGTGCCCTGTCAAAATTTTACGACTTTGAAATTATGTTTTCTGTTAAAAGTCAACTTGTCATTAATCAGATTACATAAAGAAATTTGATTTAAAACATATTTCACAATAACCCCCCCCCACATACACACACACACACACACACACACACACACACACACACACACACACACACACACACACACACGCACCCTACCAAAAATCAAACAAACAAACAAACAAAACAACACAATAAAAGACATCCCAAAATGTTCCTTTTTTCATGCAACACAAAGTATTTCCCAATTAGATCGTTGATGATGGTGTGTACGTGTTGATCAGTGTAGTGCAAATTAAAATGAATTAAGTTAGCTTTAAAATGTATTTTGCATAAATGAATATACACAATAGACACAATGTATGTTATGTATGTGCAAATAGATAATACACGTAGAACACTATCAACATGTAAGTGAATAAATATACAGAACTGAACACAATTGACATGTAAGCAAAATATCAAAATATATGAACTGACAGACATAATGTGAGAGCTCTCGTGGCCTAGAGGTTAAGGTGTTGGCCTCTCATTCATAGGTCCCGGGTTCGAATCCGGGTAGCGAGCGAAATATTTTCTTCTCTAAATTTGTCTCCTTTCACCTCATTTCCTGCTCTCTAGCAATGTTCTGCCGTCTGCTTTCGACTCCTCTTTCTGCCCCCACCCCCTCACCTCCTTTGCCCCTTCCTCTGGGCTTCTGATTCTTTCTGCAGCCTTTCTACTTCTACTCCTTCGCTTCTTCTTACTGCTGTCTTTCAGCCACACCCCTGATCTTCTGGTAGGAAAGATCAACACCTAGCCTTCTTGGACAAGGGCAAAAAATCTCGGAGGGCCCGTGAGCAAGTTGCGCACGTTAAAGATCCCTTGGTGGTCTAAAATCGATAAGAGTAGGCTTCGGCCGCCACCCGGGCAAAATTCAAAATTTCCTACCAACTGGAAAATATTAAGGTGTGTCCCGCGCGCCCATATGACCTTATGCAGTTGCGAGCGACGTAAAACACTTTACAAAACAAACAAACAGACATAATGTAGAAGGTGTAACTTATTTACAGACACCTGTATCTATTAACAACCGCACAATCTCTCAACACAACAAACTGCTTTATAACTTTAATAACCGCACCCCTTATCTTCACAGGGAAAGAGTTACAGAGCGTAAGTCTACCTTGTAAGGGGGTCACGTGCCCTAATTTTGGCGGCAAAGACTTAAGCGTACTCTACGTGACGACATCTGCAACATTGAGACTGCAAGGCTGGCCGGAGAATCCCCCAGAGGCGGGCGCCATCTTTAAAGTGACGGGATTAAACGCCAAGGGGAAAGCACCCAATATGTTCGCCGGATAAATAATAAATACGAGAGTTACATCTCTTAGCAAAATGTAATACAATGTACGTCAAAAAAGATTAATAATAGTTGCCTCTCAGAAAAGTGTATTCGTAGACTGGGAGCTAAGATCGCATGGTTTTAGAGGTTAGAGAAGAAATAAACAAAAACCAAGAAAAGAAAAAACAGAAAAGAATTAAACTGATGCTGCTCTTCTTACGTTGTGAAAAACCTCATATTTTTCTCTAAAAAAACCAACTAGTACAGTGCAGCTCTACATCTATGAATACAGACCTTAACACACAACATTGCGTTATGGTAGTTGTTTTAAAAGGGTAAATTATCTGATAATCTTTATACTTTCTTTTTTACTTACAAACTCAACACCTTCCCTGGGGTTATTCGCTATGGTTCTATGGATTTGCAGCTAAATAATAGAGCTCTGACACTCATTAAGAGATAAATGTCATTTATAATGCCACAATATCTTCGTCTTCGTTGGCATCATGCAATACGCTCAGATCTTTTTGAAAATTTATGTGTATTTATGAATAAAAGGCAAATTTTGAATTCATGGTTAATGAACACTGTTATTATTGCTCTCAGTGTTTCATACTATTTTTAAGAGTAAGTCAATAAAACACAAATTTGTGTTGCCATACCTTGTTCCTGCATGTAACTTTCACCCGAAATAGTCAATCGGTTTGCTTTTAGGCAATCTTTTAGGACTGAATAGAATTAAAACAGTAGGACAGCTGGAGGAGGAGGAGTAAAAAGGGGGGGAGGGGGTGTAACGATACAACCAGGTGATAACCTAGACCTTATTATAACAGTTAAACTTTGACAAAATATGCTTACTTGTATACTCGAAGAATTGATAGAAACATTCTGACTGCTGACAGCAGACGTTCCCAATCGTTTATATTTTCTTACCCTATTACATGAATATAACAGCTGCTTTTACTATCGGAATTAAACAATTATTTTCTACACATGGTTTTTTGTTGTTGGTTAGGTGTAGATCTGTAGATCAGGGGTGAAGCTGAAAGACAGCATTACGAAGGTGTCAAGGAGATTTAGTAGAAAGGCTGCAGAAAGAGTCAGGAGCCCAGGGAGGGGGCAAAGGAGGTGAGGGGGGTGGGTGCAGAAAGTGGAGACGAAAGCAGACAACAGAACATTGTTAGAGAGAAGGAAAGGGTGTGAAAGGAAACGATTTTAGACAAGAACATTTTCGAACCTGGGACCTATTGAATTAGAGGCGAACACCGTAACCTCTAGGCCACGAGAGCCCCAAAGGAATCCTTAAATTAGACCTATTGCAAATGAAAAGAAGAACGTATTTTTCTAAAAACTACACCTTTGATTTTCGATTTTTATTATACTAGAATGCCTTTCAAAAAAACATGTATTCACCCAACGTGTTGGGGGGGGGGGGGTTATAAATCTATCTCAGTAACTATGGCCTTTCAGATAAAGCCTTATAGCATGGATGTATAACAGGAAAACATCTCAAAAGTGTAACTTTAATTTTTCTTGTTTAAGTCTATGGTTGCCATGGTAACGGCTGCTGTATTGAAAATAAATAGATTTCATAAATTAAAAAGGATTTTTTATTTACCAGCCATTCAAATTTGGTACATTGATAGATATGCTAATTACTAAACTTTATACAGCTGGGTATTTTGGATGGATCTTGAATATTGTGAAAAAAAATAGAGATGGATAACTGACATACCTCTTTGATCATGCCTCTGAATTCGATTACTTATTCATCCACGTAACTCACTGATGAAAGCATCGATTTTATTTTCCACCTGTATAAAGATGGGTATGAACAACAAGCCCTGAAAATTTCATCGGAATGAAAAATAAAATAAAAAAGGAATTGAGAAAAAACATAAAAAATTGAAGTTTTGAGAAGAAAAAAAACGACATTCTGTTACATAATACATGCAGGCATAATGAAAGTTCTAGGACAGAAAATCTCAAAGATGATGATTGTAACACAAAGAGTAAGCACTTTTTAGATTTTCAAATGATTGGAGTTTTGCAATACGTAAAAAGTCCGGATACCGTAAACTGACCAAAAGTCGTCAGTTTAACCACACCCTCCCCCCCCCTCTCAGACAGCACGCTAATTTAAAGCTAAATGAACCTGGCATCATCTGACATATCATCTACGATAGAGTTGACAGAAATATATATACACAAAATTAACCTTAAAAATCAGTTGGCAAAATTGTGGGAGATCAGAGAAACTTAAAAGTGTGCTCGCGCGTTTATTGAAGTGAATCAACATTGGTAGAGTGGACATGTCGTTGCATTGAATATTATAAAATAAATGGGGAATATTATTGTCTCTGCAATGAACACTATCTTATTACAACATCTTAAAAAAGATAGGGAAAATAGAGCAGTCAAAACAACACTGTATGTAAAAACCTTGATGAATCTTTTTTCCACATGTCTTTGGAGTTAATTATCTGACAGAGAGTGACAGAGGCCACGAAAGTGCCACAGTTTGGGATGGTGAGGCTGGAGTGAAAACACACATATACACTCATTGACACACACCTACACTAACACACACACACACATACACACAAACACACGCACGCACACACACGAACAAACGCATACATGCGCATATACTCATTGACAACACAATATACACAAACATACACACACACACAGACACAGACACACACACACACACACACACACACACACTCACATACACACACACACACACACACACACACATACTTGCACACACAGGCACAAAGACATGTATACACTAATTGACAACACAATACACACATACATACACATATACACACACATACACACACATACATCTATACACACACACACAAACACATAGACACACACACATACACACACTCATAAACTCTTTGACCACACAATACATACACAA